AGTTAGCTACCGTGGGCAAATCTTTGTTTCAGAGAGCATATGGTGTCTGCGACAGTAATCATCTGGCGGGGGAACTTCAGCATATAAAGCAAGTCCTACATGCGAATAAGTTGAGGATTCCACGCCAATGCCGCAGACCCCGTGTGAAACCACCAACAGTCGAGCGAAGACCTACCATCTTACCTTACGTGAGAGGTGTTACAGACAAGATCGGAAGAGTCTTCAGGCGTGCATCTATCAAGACCTATTTCAAGCCCCTGAGGAAGATTTCTCAGTTCCTGAGACCCGTGAAATGTAACATCCCCTTACAGGATACAGGAGTTTACAAGCTTGACTGTGAGTGCGGTCTCTCTTATATTGGACAAACAAAGCGAAGTATTTGTACCCGCGTCAAAGAACATATAGCTGATGTCAAACACCGTCGCGTAAACAAGTCTGCAGTCTGCGAGCATGTCATGGATAAACCTACACATTCAATGAAGTTTGACAAACCCCAGGTCCTTGCAAAAGAAGTCCGTTATCTGCCCAGGATGCTGCGAGAGGCCATTGAAATTAAAAAACATCCTAATTTCAACAGGGAAGATGGTTTCTCCGTACCACCAGTTTGGGATCCAGTATTTCCTCTAATGAAAAATCCCAAACAGATATAAGACTGTAGTAAAAATTAATATGTTTTAGTTTATTCTAATTTCTATTAATAATTAATAATAAATTGAACTTAATAAAAATTCATTCTATAAAATAATTTGTAAAACTTAATATAGCGTAAATTGGAATGTTTTCTTAGGTAGTGACGAAAAATAACGATACGGGACTCTTACGAGGCCTCGTAATCGGAATGAGTACACTTTAAATATTTTAACGAGGAACAATTGGAGGGCAAGTCTGGTGCCAGCAGCCGCGGTAATTCCAGCTCCAATAGCGTATACTAAAATTGTTGCGGTTAAAAAGCTCGTAGTTGCATTTGTGCACCGACATAAAATTAAAAATAAGGTATTTAATTAATAACTATTGTAACTATAGTGAAAAAATAGGGTGGTCTAATATTAGACATAACTGGTTGAAGACTGTACCACCTCAGTCAACCGTAACCATGGGACCTGTAAAGGGCCCGAAACGTCGGTTTGTTTGAAAAAACAAATATACGCGATTTAAATCCGGAAAAATAGTTTCATTTCCTATGTGTAACAATCGCGAAAACCTAAGAACTCGATATGTATAGTAAATTCTTTGGCTCAATGAACTCTAGAAACAGACCCAATTAAAAAGGAGCACATTTTTTTTTGGTAATTATCCTACAAATTTAGTAACGTTCCTTTAAAACACTATTTTTATTTCGCAAAAACTACCACAAACTCTTTAAACGCCAGTTTATTATCCCTAATTAAAAATCCGTTAATATTTCAGTAGCGTGTACTGACAATGATACGAACGTACGAACCGATGATGGACAGTCATGAACATTTCTGAACAATACCGCCAAAAATAAGGAAAGGCTAATTATTTTTATTCACTTTAAATTTTTTTTACAATTTCTGATCTAAATGGAAGACGTCAGTTCAATTTTGACAGCTGCCGGCCATCTTTATTAGCCATTATCGTGGTACGAAATAAGACGGTGGTAACCTGATAACATTTAAAAAAACGGAATTATTATAAGGACCGCGCCTCGGGTCAACAGGGTCAAGTGCACGTCAAGCTTGACTCTTAAAACTTAAATCCAAGTATATGTCGCTTACGATAAGAACGGTCCAAAGTATAAAGTGTCAAGCTTGATGTGCTCTTGACGGTACGTTTTTTATAATGATATTTGAATGTGGTATTTAAGAGTGTTGTGACTTCTGTAGTTCTTTTGTGTTTTGGTGCTATTTTAAGCCTCTAAACAAAACATAGCCGTAAATGAATAACATAACGTCTATTGGAAAATTTGGACAAATCATGGGCATTTTTGTCCATAATCGGAGTTTATCATTAAAGAGCTTTACTTGTGTTTACCGTCTTTATAAAGCCAGACTTATAATTTACTTTATAGCTTGTTACATTATTTTAAGTCCACACAGTAATGGAAACAGTGTCTGTCAATGGTCGTCCATTACTAAATTTGATTTTTTTTAGACAAGGCACTGAAGCGAATGACCACCCATTGTTACCAGTCACAAATGGGTCTTAAGAAACATCACACCATTCTTTTAGAAATAAGTTTTAGTACCATGGAAGATCTCTTTTTTAAGATTGAATTTGTTAAATAATTTATTGTTTATGTTTAGGTGTCCATGATTGGAAACCGTCCATGACAGGGTGTCGCCGATTAGAGAGGATGTGGGTTATATTTTTCTGTATCTAATCTCCAATTGGAGAGGATGTGGGTTATATTTTTTCAGTATTTTATGGAGGAATAAACATGTTTGACGAGGGGTGCGAACTGGAAATTGGGCGGTCCGTATGTAATGCTTTCTTTATTAATTGATCTTATTAAAGCACTTTCAATCGTTATTTTAAGACTTTAATCAATTAAACCTTTCCTCATCCACAGGGTGGATGTGTTCCGCGGAGCGGGTGCGCGAGGACGCGGCGGACGCGCACCCGCTCCGGCGCAGACGTACGGGGAGAAGGCGAAGGCAGTTCGCTGCTCGCCTGATCCCCTAGTGAGACCAGCGGGCTCTGGACAGGGACTCCGGAGCCTGCATTGCACGGCCTCACTCGTCTGGGGGGCGGGTCGGAGGACAACCGACTCGTCCCTCCGTTGGCGCGGGAGCCCTGGCGCAAGCTAGGGCGGCCGGGCGGCGTCGTGGTGAATGCTCACTGATCCCACGGCGCCGACTCAACCGGCGAGAGGGAAACCCGGGGGGGTTTTAGTGGGGTAGGCCCTCCAGTCTGGAGGGAGAGTCTCCACATAACCCCTCAGTCTCCCTGGGCTCAGGGGTATCCATAAAGATTTCCCCCCCCGCAAAAAAAAAAAAAAAAAAAAGGTGGATGTGTTATCCAAAATTAAAAGACTAAAACATAAAATAAATCCACAAACCGTCCATGATTTTAACTGCCTCTGTGGCCGAACGGTTAACATGCCGGACTGCCACGCAGAGGTCCCAGGTTCGATTCCCGGGCCGGGAGAAATATTTGTATGACCTATATAGAAATATTTGTTTCTCTCGTGAGTTTGGGTGTAATTTGTGGTTGTCTATATGTGTGTTCATGGCACCCGCGACACAGGGTTTCCCTAGTGCGGGGCTATGTTGAGTGTGTGTGTTATTATTTATTTATTATATTTTATTATTATTATTATTATTATTATTATTATTGGTTCCACTACCTTGAATTAAATTGACATAAGACAACAATGCAATCGTCAACGTTAAAATTTAACTAAAAATATTAACTTTATAATTTAAAAATCTAAAGACGTTACTAATTGTTATAATAAATTATAATATAGTGGCCAGATAATCGTATGCTTATTTACTTAAAATTCGGTTGTTCGCTAACATGGAATGGGATTTTGTACCGAAAAAATCCTGTGACAGCGGAAATGAGGAAATTTTAATAAAATGAAAATTTAAATTAACTTTTATCATACTTAGAAAGTGAAGAATGTAAAAACATCTGACATTAAGAAAAAAATTATACAGTTTCATACTTTTTTACCGAAACCACCGCTTCAAATTTGACATTTCTAGCTAGCTGTTCATAGCACTGAATTTAAGATTTTTAATGCGCTTAAATATTATGTAAACTATATCAAAAAATCGCCATTCTAGTAGCCCGGGATTTAACAGAACTTAATGATGAAGGTATAAAACCATCCGAATATCCGACCATTACTATTTAGCAACTTTGATATGTTTTGCAGTCTTTCTCGTATTTCTCTAAAAGTACAAGATTTTTTTTTAAATATAATGTTCGCATCTCAATGCTGACAGAGTTTATGCCATGTCCAACCACACTGGTCCAACGCGCTTTGGGCCAGCTTTCATACGTTTTTTAGGATAGTCACATCTTGCAAAATTCATCGTGATGTTCTCTTCACCTTTAGCAATACCCCTCATTGCTACTAAACATTGACAAATGTACGTAACTTAATCATCAAAGTCACAGGTCAACCTATCAATTAAGAAACATCTCAAGTTCCATTGCTCTATATAAGGTATTAAATACATAAATAAAAATATATCACAAATTCTACGTCAATCCTAAAGTAAATTTGCACAATGAATTTTGCATTGCACTGTCCCGTTTTTGTCAAAGAAAGAGACGGATATTCAGGAGATAGCAAACACTCTGTTCCTTAACACTAGAGAGTTCCTCCACCTACTATAAATAGATTATAATCAGACCCTGTACTCTCGTATTTCGTTTTTTTTTTTTAATTTTAGTAATCTTAAAAAAATGTTTTGCAAGACTTTGCCTTCGCATTTAGCCAATGAAAGGGTTTTGAAAGCAGAATTACAGATTATGGAAGAGGTACGGAATTTGATGAAAAAGGATTGGGAAGGTAGGTCGCTATTGTAAAGTTTGATATTATTATTTTCAATAAATAAGGCCAGAATATTGTCAACATTTTTGTTGCATAAATATAATAAACTCGTTATGGAGGTGGGGAGTGGGGCACTGATTGTCAGGAGTTCGGTTATGAAAGTATCGTGGTCAATTGAGGGGCAGGAGAAGAAGATATGATTTAGATTCCCATAGGCCCCGCATGAGCATGCAGGGTCAGGAACAATTTTGAGTTTGAACAGGTGGTCAGTAATTGTCACGTGACCAAGTCGTAGTCTATAAATAATGGAGGTAGTTTGACATTCGTCCAAAACAATTACTGTCAAATAAGTAACACTCGACCAAGTTATAAGGCGCATGATGCGAATGAAGCAACGTATTTGACGTTGTCTTTTAATTAAATCGAGTATCGCTTACCCGACAGTAATTATTTCGGACCGATATCCGACGAAGAACAATAGGCCCCCAGAACCTGGTAATTATAGCCAAGATTTTGGTATTTATATAGGTTTGTAAAGTATTAAACACGAGGAAAAAAGAGTAGTGAGAATCTATAGTATGTTATTTTGCCAAGAGCTTTTCAGTAATATTTGATTCAAAATTCCAGTTAGGAAATTCCGTGCTTCGTGTTCTATTCAGTCATACTAATCAATAAAATTAATTTGACAATATCGTTAGCATTAGAAATAGTTCAGAATAGAGGTTTGCACTAATATTAGGCGTAACTGGTTGATGATTTTACCACGTCAGCCAGTCGTGACAATGAGACATAGAGCCTGAAATATTGGTTTGTTTCAAAAAACAAATATGGGCGTTTAGATAAAAAAAAATTGTTCCAATTCCAAGAACGATCAAAATCGTTAGCATTGTTTAAAACTAATGACTAAAATCGTATCGATCGTTGTAATTTTTACGATCATTGTGGAAGGTTTTGAATATGATGACCCCCCTCTCTACCAAAATTTCAGCTGATTAACGTAATCTTTCAGCGGTCACGAAGTTATGTGATATTTACATACAACTAAACAAGATTACCTTTTTATTCCCTCGCATAGGTTCGTCCTTTCTGCCGAGCACCGTTCGCGTCAAAATTGTACTTAAATAACAGAATATCGTTAAAGTGTACTTGATGTAGCATTGTTGTCGACATTCAGGGCTTCTTTTTCCCTAATACGAAGTCTATATTCTTCATCCTTAATTTTCAGGTCTCGTTGTAACTTCGTCCAAATGTCATTGGGTTCTTTTTTAAGTTGGTTACTTTCGTACTTCTTAACAAGGTCTTGAGCGTATTTTGAAGGAACATACGCTGGCGTAGTAGTAACAGGTGATTTTGATATTGAAATATCTGAAAGAGGACTGTTTCGGTCTGGAACACTCTTCTTTTTAAACATGAACGTACCAAGGTATGGTTCACCAGGTTTTCGCTTCGAAGTGTCTGAAATGGCACCTTGGTGTTGTTCAGCTGGTTTTGATCTTGGAGCACCATTAAACCAGTTATTTACTTTATTGATAGATTCTTGCATGTAGGGGTCTATTGGTGTCCTAATCGGAGTTATTTCTGTTTTTGGGGTGATGTTTTCCTCTAATACGTTGTTTTCTAAGTTTTCTATATCTTTCGTATTGTCTTCTTCAAGTAGCTTTGGAGACGATATACGAGGGCAAGGTACAAGTTTTTCTTGATCTTGTGCATCTAAGTTTTCTGAAGTACTAGGGCCTTTAAAATAGTCAGGTGTTAGCAGCAAAGGTTTTGGAGAAGGCAAACTTGATGTCAAATTAGACAGCAAGGGAATGGTATTAACTTTGATGAGAGCAGCGATAGCGACGTTCCTGTCTTTACGTTTGTCGAAAGAACTATCTTTCGGTATTTTGCTTATTTGTTCTTTTAATATAGCTATCATTTTCTTTTTATCATCGTTTTTACTGTACATTTGTAGGTCTGAATCAAGGGCTTTTGTTTTATCTTGCATTACAAATTGTTTACCTTTAGTTTCTTTATAAATTACCGATCCGCAATCACCTGCACCATTTCTGTCAGTTTCATGAGAAGCCTCAGATGACTTCTGATCGAGGTTTTGTTTAATGGATTTCGGGTATGTAGCATTGCTTTCAGATGGTTTTGGAACTTCTTTCAGTGGTCCCGGAGAATTGCTTCCGCTGTTAAACTCTTCAAGCATATTGCTACCGCGGGAATGGCTTCGTGGAACATTATTCATAGATTGAATGTTTTTAGGGACGAATTCCTGAACCTCTGGATTTAGTTTACTAATGACAATTTGCGTTTGAGGTGCTTTATCTGAAAAATTCTTCTGACATCTGTTGTCGTGCTCTTGACTTTCACTGGCTTGTGCCTGAAAGTTATTATCGAAATAAGAATGACAGACGTCTAATGGTACCAACATCCATACCTTTAACATTATAAAACAACATTCTGTCCTAGTTCAGCTGTAATAAAGTAGAGGACGGTTGCTATTGACATATACAATTTAATGACAATCCCTGCAACTCGGAGTGAGTTATTCATTGACTTACAATTATATGGACGTCAAGTCCGCGCTAAAAAGTGTCCGAACTTTAAAATCGTTAAAATCGTATACAGAGCGCCATTCACGCTTTAGTCTTCGTTTGTTCGACTGACAGTGAAGCAAGCAAAATTAGACAGTACTGCGATGACATTACAATTTAAATTCAACGTTTTAGCTTTTTCATATTCCTTTACATCTCACTACGTTTAAATAGGTTGACTTGGGACATTTTTTTTTGTGGTTTTTGTATTAGACCCGTCGTCCATTTATTTGTAAGTCAATGGAGTTATTAGTAAAACTTTGTTAATAAATAAGTTAATAAACTATTTATTATTGCAAGATAATTTATAACAAACATGGCAAAAATAATTTTCCAAGGCTGTCTCACAAATCTGGCGAATGTGCCTGTCGCTTGCGAGCTGTACATGTGTATTTCGTTAGTGCGATCTGTTTGCGTGCCCCTCGCGCGCCAGGATGCAAGCCTTGCGTCAAATATGATGGTAGTGCGCGCGCAGCGCGTTCGCGGTGCGTTCGCCAGATCTGTACTACCCACCCTATGCACACTTTTCACTCTCTTCTTTTCTTAGGTAATTTTCTGGCTGTCTTGTATTTATTTGTCAAATGATTATTTATGCCAAAAAAACAAATACTTGAACAAAAACAATTAATTAATTTGCTCACCATCCGGATGCACTGCGTAATTCCCGCCAAATCTGGTCCTTCGCAATTGTTATTATCATCCTGATCTCCATTTTCATATACGCCAAATCTTAATTTGATCTCTTCGTCTACAAAATAATTAATAAAAAAATTATCAATGATTCATTGTGTTCCTGACGGAGAATAAAAGGAACACATATGTGAATCAATTATTCCATTTAAATTCAATTCAAACCATTTATTTCAAACTGGTGTAGTTCATAATAATACATACACTTTCATCAATATATTTAAAAAAAAAAATTAAAACACATTCTAATTGGGAGTACATTCAATCAACCATACAGTTAGAATGCAAAGAATGAATGAAAAAAATCTCATTTGACATTTAACAGTGAGCAGCTCTCTTTTCAAAAATGGGATGCCTCCATATACAATTTTTTTTCCATCCTCTAAGGATGCTTCTATGTGTTGTATTTTTAATATTTTATATACTCATATACATCGTATTGGTGAGCACAGGACAACTTTAATAGCAAGCTTTTACTACACTGTAGGAAATACCAAAACCATTGTATTTTAGTAAAATTAAAATAAGAGCTGTATTTTCCCACCTTCTTCGTAGTCGCTCCTAGATGGCGGTGGTCTCTCACCACTGATGATAAAGTCTTCATTAAAACCATCGTATAATACACCTTGCACCCGAGCTATGTCATTAAGTACATCATTTGCTGTATTCCAGCCTCTTCTGTTTGCCATTTTATAATTATTGTATGGAAACTTTTTCTTAATTGCAGCAGTTTGTTATAATATCAGGATGATATTGCAATAAGTGAACAATGTTTGTCAATATTTTAGCAGGTAGACTAATTCTAATATTTATAGCCTCTGCTTACTTTAAAGCATACAACAGGTACTCCGTTAGTCTCTTCTAATAAGTACCACTTTTGCATATTTAATAAACAAAAGACACACTTATGTTACTTCCTTTATATCACTTTTATATAAATCTGCAAAAACGGAAAAATTGAATTTCTGACAAAACTTTACATCCTTTTAAGTTAGCAATAAAACTGTCTACTACTACATGATCATTTAAAATTTTGTGAAAACTGGCAACCCTGCAAATGTAATTTTACTCCATCTCTAAAAGACAAACTATAGTATGTATTTAATTTTATGTACTATAGTATTTATTTTTTTACTTATTTATGTACTATAGTATTTATTTTTTTATTTATTAAGTACTATAGTATTTAATGACAGATTCATATAAAGTTGAGGAAAGTATGCGAATGTATGACAAGTTCAATGCCATACATTGAGAAAACAGTGTAAACACCATTAGTAATTTGTATAAAGTCCATTAATAATCCATTTTTGCTGACTTTAACCCAGAAGCAAAGTCAATACTGCCAACTCTACCAACTTTACTTATTAATGTTACAATGTCCACAACATATTTAAACTCGAAACACATACTAGGTAAGATTGAACAGTTACACCACTATAAATTGCAAATGCAACTTGTAACTGATACTAAAATATGAAATATTGCAAGGCAGTTTATGAATAGTACTGCCACCATGAACATGCATGAACATGTTGAGGTCAGTTACAGTACAGAACTAGTCAATATTGAATAAAGGCAAAATATATTATACCGAAACTATTTTGCGAATTAACCATTTTCTCAATGAAAATAGGTTACTATTCAATTATTTCAGTAAACACATTTGTAATTAACAAATTGTAATAAAAACATATACTTTGTACTACTATAGAAGTAAGTAAGATAACGGATACAAAGGAATGTACTTTAAAATTTACCTGCATTTTGCATTAAACACTTGTTTGAAGCTTACCCTAATATTATAACTTGATGAGTTGTCATCTGTTTAACATCACGAACACAAACTTTGGTAACATTACGATGACATTGTTATGTATTGCACAAAAATTGTAATTTCTGCAATCGCATGCGTAAAAATTGCAAGACACGACTAGGCACACAGCTGATGTTGACTTGACTCACGGAGAAATGTCACATTATGACAAGAAACTTGGAAAGAACAGTATGACTATAACACGTACCCAAATGACAATTTGCATGACATTTTCATTTGCAACTATTATGCGGAAAGACCGAATGACTGAATGATTTAACCGATTGCCGTGGTCTTTTTCCTGGGATTTAGGAGTAAGACATACATAAACAGAGTAAGAAACATGTTTTGTCGTACTGCCCTAGTGCACTTTCTCAGTTTATAGCGGATTATTTGTGCCTTTTAATCAACGTTACTATAGCTCGAAAAAAAAATAAAAAACGCTGGACTGTTTTTTTTTTAGAGTATTTCATCGTGTTTTCTTGTGATTTCAAATAAACTTTATTGAAATGGGTGACGAGAATCCAGCAACAGACGCGTCCAACATAGATGTTGCTAATGTAAATGATAATTCGAAAGCTGAATGCGAAAAGGAGGCAGGGGACACTGGAAAATCAGATAAACTAAAGGGTTCGTTTATATGTATTACGCTTTTTGTTTTAGGGATACTTATAAAACAAACAGTAAACAGTAATGTTTCGAATGTATGACTACTTAAATGGGTATTAAACTGCACTAGCGGCTATATCTCGTTTTCATTAAGCAGTTGGCGCACTTAATGTTTACTACAGTAGATAAGCCGCGGCAGCTGATATGTCTGGAAACTGACACAACGCGATGTAAGATAATCAAAACGTTCTTCTTTATAATGTTATAGCTCCATCGATATCATCGATGATTCCGCCAATGTCGAGTTAAGGAACACGCGTTTTTTACTCAAAAATTGACTGGTGAATTTCGACACAAATCACTGAGAGGAGAATCTACAACAACAGAGAACTTACACAGACTATTACAGAAAATTTTTAATAAATTTACACAAGACATGCAAAGGGAGAGTGGACTAATGGTAGGAGAAATTCGATATTAACGGGACGGGGGATTTTAGGGGGTAGGATATGCAGAGGAGTGCCAAACACTGAAGAGAAGCTATATCATTGGACAGGAATGGCATAAGAATGTTAACTAGAGCCTAAACAGGGCATTATGGCTTAAACAAGCACATGTCAAATATTGGGCAGAGAGAGAATAGAGAATTTAGATTCTGCCACAAAGCCAATCAAACTCCTGTTCATCTACTCACCCCATGCTACCCCCTGATGGTTGTACGAAGTTCCATACTGGGAAGGCACATGCCACAACCAGAGGACATTAAATCTGTTGGAGCCAGGAAAGCCCTTCAGTTCTTCATTGCTGTCTGCCTTGGCTCTGCACTGTAATTAGTGGTGATCACAATAGATCAGTCAATGGTCGCAGTGATGAGGGGATGCATAGGCTCTGGATGAAGCCTCCCTAATAATAATCATCATCATACAGAGGAGTGAGAATACAGTTACAGTCAAAAAACAGGTGCTCGAGGGTACCTCCTCCTAGACCACAATCAAAATAATAATAATATTAATAATGCACACACTTGACATAGCCCCGCACTAGGGAAACCCTGTGTCGCGGGTGCCATGGACACACATAGACAACCACAAATTACACCCAAACTCACGAGAGAAATAAATGTAGCCATGCAAATATTTCTCCCGGCCCGGGAATCGAACCTGGGACCTCTGCTTGGCAGTCCGGCATGGTAACCGTTCGGCCACGGAGGCAGTTAAATAAATGTTCAGAGTTAATGCTGTCCACACTTGGCAATTTTTTTTCACCTATTACTGACTAACACATTGTTGCATTCCATTCCAGTTGATATACTCTTAAAAGCAACTGGCAATGCTCCAATAATGAAGAAAAAGAAATGGGCCGTTGATGCAGAGAAGCCTATTGGCTGGATAATGGAGTTTGTCAAGAAGTACTTAAAGTTAGAACCTGAGGAGAAGCTGGTAATTATATTTACTAAAATTGAGGAGCTTCATAACAACAACTGATAAATCTGGCAAATTTTGATTCTAATTTCATCTAGTCTCATTAAATGAGTTTGTCGCCTTGTGTTCAGATCCATGCATTTGAAACGTATTTTGAAGGAAGGTTTAGTGGTTGCTGTTCAGGTTGTCTAAATTATTCATAGAAACATACAAGAACTACCATTTGGCATTAAAAAAGAAGAACAAGTCAAAATGTGACTTATCAGTTTTTGTTCCACTTCCCAATAATTCAGTCCAGTTTGCTCGCCAAACCCAATTAGTTACAGCATTAGTACTGTAGTAGTTAGCAACGGATATTTTAATTAAAGCACTTTTACGTTAGATAAATTTGACAGCATAACAATTGTGCAGATTATTTAACTAATAAAAAAACAACAACCTGCAATTTGTCATTGGATGTAATGGAGCGTCGGCACCGTGTGTGGCTCGGTACATTCCATAAATCCAATTCAATATTCCATTAATCCCCATACTAACATTATAAGTGTGACATCCTGACAACAGTTGGATTGAATTTCTTGCGATAACAGGCCCCACCAGTGGGGATTTATCGGATATGCCTGTTGCTTCATTAATGCAATATCCCAGTTGAGGCCGCACCTCATTGAACACTAACACAATATTTACATTGGTTTAAACTGTCACGGTTTTCACATATTATTAGATTTAAAAAAGGGACGTGTTAACATACGCGGTCCCGAAAAGACGACGTCCCTACCATGGACATTGCAACACGTCCAAAACGTCTAGGTAAATAAAATACATTATATGCACAATATATCTATCATTATGAAATTGTTTGTTTCAGTTCTTATACATAAACCAAACATTCGCCCCCTCTCCGGATCAAATAGTGAAGAATTTATATGAATGTTTTGGTACAGATGGCAAACTGGTGCTACATTACTGCAAAACTCAAGCTTGGGGTTGATATGATAAGAAATATTTGTGTTAAAACTTCACCATTTTATTTGATAAGCTAAGTTTTTATACTCACTAGTCACATAATACAGCTTTATGATTCCTGTTACAAATTTCCATTACATTTCTACTGATGTGGTCATTTTGGCTCAATTTACGTAAGGTATTTAATAGTAACGAAACTGTTCATAACATCATGAATCTTATGCCAATTGTGAAACTAGGTACGATACTATAGCTGCGGAAATTCCGGAGACTAAGGGTCGTATTCCAGAACTATACTCAATGCTCAAGTCAGGATTTGAGTATGGTTTAAAGTACTCGAAATCATACTCGAGTCCCTGCCATTAGGGTCGTATTTCCAGTGCTTGTGTTTCCAGTGCAATCCTGACTTGAGCATTGAGTAGAGTTCTAGAATACGACACTAAGAATCCTCCAAAAGACGCGCGTTCTGTTTTTTGGCTCGTGACTCGTTATGTTACACAAAAGACAAAGATCATTGTCCTATAGTTGCAAAAATTCACTAACATGCCGTTCCGGGGCAAGGTAAATTTGGTCTTATTACGGTCTGATCCAATTCAAGCCATTAAAATATGCTTGGTTAATTTCTACATGCACGATGGTACGTCTCTAAGGCTTCCATTTTCTAAGTGCTGTGAACCTTCTCAGGCTGCTGACAAATTGACTTCATGTTTGAAGATAATGCGTGATGTCAAAACCGACTTCTTCTTCTTTTAAATGTTATGGCCCCATCGAAATAATCAATGATTTTGCCAATGTCAAGTAAAAATAACTATGTACGGTAGTTTAGTATTATTATAAAAATTATACAAAAAAATGGCGATTTCGCCAATGTCCTGTTGAGATCATCGTTTTTTAATTCATGCACTCGAGTTCGACTTCATGCAGTTAATGCGTGAAGTCGTTATCAACTTCATGCAGTCGAGGTCTCGGATAACGACTTCACGCATTAACCGCATGAAGTTGAGATCGACTACATACAGTTAATGCGTGAAGTCGTTATTAACTTCATGCAGTCGAGGTCTCGGATAACGACTTCACGCATTAACCGTATGAAGTCGAAACCGACTATATACAGTTAATGCGGGAAGTCGTTATTAACTTCATGCAGTCGAGGTCTCAGATAACGACTTCACGCATAAACCGCATGAAGTCGAGATCGACTGCATACAGTTAATGCGTGAAGTCGTTATCAACTTCACGCAGTCGAGGTCTCAGATAACGACTTCACGCATATACCGCGTGAAATCGAAACCAACTTTATGATGTCGAGATCGATTGCATACAGTTAACGCGTGAAGTCGTTATCTACTCTACTAACGACTTCACGCATTAACTACAAACATGCAGTCAATCTGTGTTAGCCGCCTTAGACGTGCAGGTTTTATCACGATGTTTTCATTCATTTATTTAGGGAAAGATATTATGGCTATTATTATAAAAAAGTAGATTGGCTATTACTGGCTAGAATATTATGGTTTTAATTCGTCTAGACTGGTCTGCATGCTTCTACCCTTCCTCCTTCATAATTGGACGTGGTTAAACAAAAAGGATCCAATGCACATCCAGTCACTTTCGAGATATGGCAGTTTGAAGTTTAAAAGTGTTCGTCACTCTTGTTTTACTTTCGAAACTTGCAATGTCATGTAACTCCAGATATATTTATTTATGTTTGTATGTTGTATTGTTTTGCTGATCTAAGAGGTTAGACTTTAGGAACTGTTTGGTACATACAACTAATTTTTTGATAATTTGAGGATTGGATACTTTTTGCTTAACTACGTCCAATTAACGTAATCGAGATTTTTGGCGGAATTTAGTAACACATCTGGGATCAGCATACGAAATCTACAACCCCCTCTAATCGTTTTATATCTTATTTGCATTGACTTACAATTGTCCGCGCTAAAAAGTGTCCGAACTTATAGGGCGTTAAAATCGTATACAGAGCGTCATTCACGCTCTAGTCTTCGTTTGTTCGACTGACAGCGAAGCAAGCAAAATTAGACAGTACTGCGATGACATTACAATTTAAGTTCAACGTTTTAGCTTTTTCATATTCCTTGACATGTCACTACGTTTAAATAGGTTGACTTGGGAAATTTTTTTCGTGGTTTTTGTATTAGACCCGTCGTCCATTTATTTCTAAGTCAATGCTTATTTGTTTCAGTTTTAATGTTATGCAAAATCAGCGTAATTGACATTTTTCATTAACAAAAAAAGAACTTTAGGTGCCTTGATATCAAGTGACGGGACGAACAAGCCGTGTGTCTGGTGGTAAGGTACACGCCTGTCCATAGTACTTGCAGTGACACTCGGAGCTTTAAATCGATGAGATCTGCGGGACACTGCGCCTGTCACCCTGAGACATAAGTTAACAAGTCCCATATGCCTATAATTTCACCAGCACCCTTACCCTTCAAAATCAGAACGCAGTAATGCTCACATTATTTGCTTGGCGGCAGTAGTTCGCTGGACAAACTCTTTCTCAAGAAGCTCTACTGTTACTAAAAGTTTTCCAATGTGTATTTTATGAAATGCCGTTGGAAATGAAACTATTTTTCCGGATTTAAATCGCATATCAACCGTGACCATGAGAACCAGTAAGGAGCCCGAAACGTTGGTTTGTTTAAAAAAACAAATCTACACAATTTAAATCCGTAAAAATATCTCATTTCCTAGGTGTAACAATCGCGAAAACCTAAGAACTCGTTATTTGCCGTTGCAAAAACTATTGTGTGGATTTCTATTAGTTAGTAGAGTTTATATCACTAGCTCCCGATATTATGTCACAAACAAATAAAATTAAAAACGATAGTGAAAAAACGTCTAATCTAAAAATAATTATGAACACACGTTTTATATTTCACACATATTATAGCAGTCTTATCAAAAGGTATTTGCTAGCATTTTCTGTCACCTCCGCCGCTGACGAATTCCTTGCTCGTTGTTTTTGTTGGAAGATCTGCGAAGAAAAATCATCAATTATGTAATGCGCTTCAGAATCGACGTGTAAAACAATAATTACTGAAAAGAAATAATTTTAATTTTTTTATGATACCAAATGACGTCATCAAGTCGTGCACCTGGTGATAAGCGACACGCCTGGCCATAACAGTTGCAGTGCCGCTCAGAGCTTGAAATCGCAATGATCTGAGGAGCACCGCCACTACGCCCGCCACACTGAGACATAACGACACCAGAAGTATCAATTAATGTAAGGGACAAACTACGGTTCTTCAGGAGAGCCAAAAAACGATTTTATTTTTTTTAAACTAGCTATAACTTTTCACTGTCTGCTCCAATTTTGATTGTGTCTAGAGCAAACTTTCTTAGAATTTCCTCTTCTTTCATGCTAGGCACGACTAAACATCTGTTTTAAGTGTTTTTTAATGTAACGGACATGCTATATTTTAAACCACTAGACATTCCTAAATTTTAATAATACCAATCGACGGAAACTTCTGAATCCAATGATACATGTAACTCATTTTCGACAAAATGTCCCTTATGTTAATTGTGTAGATTTCTTCCTAACACTCCAACAAAACGCCGTATTAGCCAAACTGATTTATTAAATTATCTATTAAACTGCCTCCGTGGCCGAACGGTTACCATACCGGACTGCCACGCAGAGGTCCCTGGGTTCGATTCCCGTGCCGGGAGAAATATTTGTATGGCCTACATTTATTTCTCTCGTGAGTTTGGGTGTAATTTGTGGTTGTCTATGTGTGTGTCCATGGCACCCGCGACACAGGGTTTCCCTAGTGCGGGGCTATGTTGAGTGTGTGCGTTGTGCGTTGTTGTTGTTGTATCTATTCCTCCAACAATTTATAATAGTACTTTGAAATATACTCAACAAAATTTGTAACCACAAAATACCGTTATAATTCCTGACCAATCTAACTTGAACATTTTATGAGATACGAATACATAAATTTTTCTTTCACAGACATTGCCTCCTATATCCCTTCTTTTTCAATTGCCGCCAATTTTTCGCAAGAAAGGAATTTTAAAACCAATGTCATTGGCTAGTCGAACCGGTAGATAAAGTGTTCGGACCAATCATAATCGACACCGACGCGCCATCTACACAGTAACATTAACGGAAGCCTAATAATATCAATTGACAAACTTTTAAATTAATATATGGAAAAAGATTATTTATCCTTAAAATATTTAAATAAATAATTAATGAAAATATTTTTTCTATTTTACGATTATATATTTCAAAAATTGATACTTCTGGTATCGATAAGTTGAAAAGTCTCAATATCGCTTGTATACTAACATTGACTTACAATTATATGGACGTCGGGTCCGCGCTAAAAAGTGTCCGCACTTGTAAGGCGCTAAAATCGTATACAGAGCGCGACACTCCGCTTTAGTCTTCATTTGTTCTACGGACAGCGCGATACTGCGATGACATAACAATTTAAATTTCGAATAGGTTGACTTGGGACATTTTTTTCGTGGTTTTTGTATTAGACCCGTCGTCCATTTATTTGTAAGTCAATGTATACTAAGAAATAAAATATTCCCTGTGACATTTTGCACCGTCATTTCTAGGATTCGGAACTGGCCCTGGGGGTTTACTCT